AACACCACCAAAGTAATGGCATTTTTTTTTTATAAAAATGTCATTAAATTAGGACATGTCAAATATACAAATGCTGCTAATATAGCGACGTTTTTCAAATACAAATTAGTGGCATTTTTAGATATAAACGTCACTAATAACATCATTTTTCAGATACAAATGTGGCTAATATAACAGTATTTTATAGAAAATGCTACTAATGTAACGACGTTTTATAGAAAATGTCACTATTTTTTATGACGTGTGTATAACTGACACTCTGACCAGCATTTTTGATAAACATCACAAATTTTTAATAACGTTTATAAACGTCGTTAAACGTAAAGAAAAAAAATACCACTAGAAACCAAAACCCCTGTAGTAATATAATAATATTTCACAACTATATTTTCAATCATTGCTAAAACTCCTAGTAGTAAACAGTTGATTTCATTGTATATGCTTTGAAAACTTGAGGTAGCACGCACTTGAATATCTTTCTTGTGGAATAATGGTTATTTAGATATTCCCTTAAATCAATCAGAATGATTGATGTTTCATTCTTGTAACTTAGTCCTCGTCCTTTTCTTTGGGATAAGGATGTTGGCGTTTCCATTTTCTTAGATGAGAAAAATAGACGTCTCCATTTAACGCACGAGGCAGGCCCCTGTGTATGATGGCTGCTTCTTGGGTTCATCGCCTTATATTAGCTGTCAAAACGAATGTGGTGTGGAAGCATGTGAATAACTTTCAAGATGAGCTTTGTGACTCATTGTCGAATAATTATCCCCAACAACAATTTTGATGTGAAACTATTGATAACTGGGCTTTGTTTGATCTCACATTATCTTTTCTTGTCAATTAGGAAGCAGTTAAAACTTTTAACAGCAAGTTCCTCAAAAGAATCAGATCATGGGTGAACATCTCATTACATGTGGGGATAAGTATGCTTCGCTCAACTATGTTGTCGCACATCCTATTTTATGACCACTTAGAATGTTCTTTTAAGACTCTAAGTCCCTTCCAGCATATTGTTTTCTGTTATTCATGTTAAGTCTCTTTTATTAGTATGGATGTATGGAACTCATGCTATGTTTGGTTACTTCTGCTAAAAGAATTTCTGCATGCATATACGTAGCACATACCACAACCAGAAGTAAAAAGATTTGGTTATACTAATGGAAGGAATTCCTTTTGAAGGGAACCAATAGTTTTGGAGCATTTTCCTTGCTAGATTACAGGAGAAGGAACTAAACCAGAGCATGCAAGTGGCGCAATGTCAGTTCCAAGTTTAGATATAGATGGTTACAACATACCAACTCATGGAACTTCAAGTACAAATGAACGGCATACTTCATCAACTCGTTCCAACTCACAGAGTGGCAGTGACTTCATACTTGTAAGTGTCAGACATTTCTTTGTTGTCGTTTGTTCGATTGCTTTGACAAACCTAATCAGATAAAGCTAGCTACATGTATATCAAACGCTATCTGTTTGCTTTAGGAGATGATGTAAAAAGCATGTTACCACAATTTCTAAAATATTTATAAGTCCTTTAAGGAAAGTTAATTGCATATTTACCAGTAGTTTATACTAATCGTCGATATTCAGAATTTGTTGAGAGTTGGCGGAGAAGAAAAACAATTTTTTTCTTTGAGAACTTGAACTGATTTGCAGAGAAGAGTTGCAAAGAGAGCATTGCGCTGCTTTTTAGGGCTTTAGGAAGATATGGGCTTTTTATTTACCCAAAGAAATTAGCATCACCCCAGTATTTAATATGTTGTTAATGTAATTTTTTAATTTTATGAGATTAATATATACTTTACTTATTTTTTAATTAATTTTTTTATTTTTTAAATATATCTAAAAGAAAAATATGTTAAATTTATCTAATTTTAATAGAGAATTCAATTTTTTATCCGAATATAATTACAAATGAATATTAAATTTTGGAGATAAAGTCGTAAATAAATATAATTTTAAAATTTTTATTAGATATGAAATGTTAATAAGTAATATAGGATTAATCATGTAATGGTATTTTTAATATATTTTTATTTAAAATATATATTTATAAAAAATAGATAAATTTACAAGATAAAAATAAAAAAAATAAAAAAACAAATTTTATCTTTTAAAAAGTTATAAATACGAAAATTATTCATATAATTTAAATCTTCAGGAAAATAAGAATAAAAATGAGTTTAAATTATACGTTAAATATAAGTACAAAAATAAAATAATATAAAAGTTAAGGATAGAAAATACTTAATTCGCCGTATATCTTATCTATTGATATCTACAACCTACAAATTAAAATTATCCTTAAAGGATAAAATGATAACACGTGGCAAATAATTACTTGTCATGTGTCAATTTTTTTATTTTTGAAATATTTTTGAAAGGTTATTATATTAACACGTGGCGAGCTCTTTTTTATCATGTGAAATTTTTTTAAATTAAAAAAAATTTCAAAAAAAATATTTACTTAATTATAATTATAATAAAAAATATATATTAAGAGTTGAGTACAAAAAAAATGATGCGTTGTTGGCAATTATAATACCTTCCAATGCTTTTGTAGAAAAAGAAACAAACACCTAAATTATAAAAAAAGTGCGTAAAATATATTTAATTTATAAAAAAAATCAATTTTCAAAATCTTAAAATTAACTAACATATTAAATTTCAATAACATAATAAGACATAAAAATTATAACTAAAACTAATCAATTGAAAAAAAAATAACATTCATGAAAATCAACTAAAAAATTTCAGAAAAAATAATAAAAATCCTTTAAAAGCTGTTGATATAAATTTTAAATATTTTTTAAAAATGTCTTTTAAAAACAAAAAGTATATAATTAAAAAAAATACTAAATTTGAGATTTTTTTAATAAATTAAAAAAATTAACAACAACTAATAAACATAAACAACGACATAAAAAATTTTAGATATAAGATTTTCAATTTTTTTAATCTAAAAAATTTAAAAACTAAATCAAATAAAATTTTTAAAATTAATTTTTATAAAAATTAAAAAATCCCATGCGAAGCAGAGTAGCATTCTAGTTTTCATTTAAAAGGAACGTGTCATCACACTAACTTTGCTTTTGAAGCCTAAACTTATTCCTATTTAATCTTATGTGTATCTTTACGATTTTACCCTTGGAGTTGTTCATTACGAAACTCCCCCTTTTCCGTGTGATAAATCGTTTCAGATCTACAATCCCATCCGTCGAAATGGAGAAATCTAATCCGACGATTATTATTATTCCGGCCAACTGGGCCCAGAACGATCAGGGACGATCATCACGTACTAGTTGCCAAGTGACGTGACATCAGCCGTGACATGGCCGACTCCACAGTTTCCCAATCCGTAAACAGCCGAACAACAAAGTCAGATATTCTAGATTTAACCCCAAAATTCATGTGCTACGTGTCCGATTCCCATTGCCAAAAGACAACCATTACCCTTCTTCCGTTACTCTTTGATGTCCGATGAGTTATTTTATCCCTTTTTTTCCCCTCTTTTTGCATTTTCTCTCTGATTTTCTCCATGTCCAAGCACGTACCTCTACTTACAACTCTTCTCTTTTGGCTTCCCGTATTTGTCGACACTAAAAGGAGAGTGTAGAGCCCTTTTTCCCTTTCAACATTCTTGATAAGGTTAGATTCATCTAAATCTTCTCTTGTCTTGGTGGCGAATTTTCTTTCATTTTGGGTTCTCTATTTGTGTGGTTTTGATTAATGGGTATTTGAATATGATGCTGATTAATGTTTTAAAGTGATTTATTTTAATTAATTATGGTGTTTTTACATCTTAGTCGAGTGGATCACGTTATTTCAATATGATACTGTACAAATTCAATCTAAATTTAGGGTTTTATAACAAACGATAGGACAGATCCAATAGCAGCTTCTGTTTGGGTTGCGAGAAAATTGGGGGAAAGGGAAAGGAAAATGGAAATGAAAATTGAGATTAACATGGTAAAAGTAAGAAACTTTATTAATTAAATAAAGCTGTCTTATCCTCTTCAGCCCTTATTTGGCGTTGGGTTAGATCGTTTTGGGGTTAAACTGTCTGATGTATTAGCAAGTTGGATTTTGTTTTACGTATTTCCTACTTGAAGAATTAAGCAATCAGATAGAGCTTGGATTATTTGTCCTTATTACTCTCAAAACATTTTAGTCCCTTTGTAAAGATTTACTAAACTATAGGATTTCTGGAATTGACGTGATCTCACTTGGGTATACTTTATTTTTATTGATGGTGGTCTTACTTTTCCATTTTAATTTCGTCATGGATATTTTGTCTTCTCTAAATTACTCTCGATTTACAGATTGAGGCTTCTCATGTTAACTGCGTGGGGAAAGCTGCGTGCATTATCTTTATGTGCTTCTAGTAGTTTGTCTCACCATTACCGTGAATGTTAATATGTTGTTTATCCTAGAGTTCCAGAGTTTTTTACATTTAAGTCATCATGAGTCCGTGACCCACTTGGAGTGGTTCATCTAAATGCCTGTCTCTGTTTAATTAGGTTATGGATGCTGGATAGTTTTATTCAGTGAGTTATTTAAGTTCAATATGTTGATTCTTTTTTATGAAGTATTGTGGTTAAGCTTTTAATTATCAAATAGTGCAATTTATGGTTGTCTTAGTATTTTTGTCCGTAATATCTGCATCTTCACCCGTGCATGTGTGTCACAGTGTAATTTGCAATGAAGTCTGGTTTCATGGTCTAATGACTGAAATGTTGTTCCTCTTTTACTGCAGTAGTGAGGGCCATGTGAGTTGTTTGAACTGGACTACAATATTGGCTTTTCAACAGGGATAAGCTTATTGGTTCTCTCAGTGTGCACAAGATGGGTAAATGCAAGGGTTGTGGGAAATTAGGAAGGATGCTGCCAGGGGATGGACCTGTGAATGCTTACCATTATGCTCTTTTGTGTTCCCCTGTTGTTTCTGTTTGGGATTGCATTGTCCGTAAAATGAGATATTCCTGCAGACCTGAGTGGGTGTAGTCTTGGTGTGTAATAATTATATTGTTATCAATAAGAAAATTAATTAGAAGTAGGTAGCATCAGAAGTTTGTTTTTAGAAGAAAAAAAAGGTAAAGGAAAAAAGACAGCTTCATAGGGAAATGCATATGATTTAGAGGAACCCTTTTAAAGAAAAAAATCGGAGCAAACAGAAGTCTTGGTTTAAAGCTTGTAAGTTTTCATGGATAACAAGGCCTGCAATATAGTGCAACCAGTAGTGAGAAAAGCAAAAAAGAAGCAGGTGAAGGATGAGTTGGATCGTATTAAACAGGCAGAGAAGAAAAAGAGGCGCTTGGAGAAAGCCCTTGCTACTTCTGCTGCCATCCGTTCTGAACTAGAAAAAAAGAAACAGAAAAAGAAGGAAGAACAGCAGAGGCTTGATGAGGAAGGTGCTGCAATTTCTGAGGCTGTTGCTTTGCATGTCCTACTTGGTGAAGACGCTGATGATTCGTGTAAGATTATGCTAAACAAGAAAGAGGGGTTCAACTGTTGGGATTATGCTAGCAATTTTGATCTATTTATGGGTGAAGGAAGAGCTTGCCTTCCCCATCAGACTCACACAAACTGTGAAGGGTGGGTCACTAATGCGTGTAGAGCTGGATGCCAGTGGACTGAGTTTGGAAATAGTGACTGGTCCTTCTCATATGGAGCTTATGGAAGGGATCTACATGCACCATGTTTTGAGGATGGAGGCTGGGGAAGTGCAGGACTTTCGGCTGGTCTTATTGCAGCTCAGGCTGTTTCAGCACTCCAGATTACAGAGGATGCAGAGGTCGACAGGATTGTCATCAACGGGATGTTGAGAAGCTAGACAACCGTTTTGTTGTTATGTTGCCATGTTGCCTGGAGTCTTTGCTCATAAGTCTGAATAATGGTGCTGTATATATTTTTCATCACTCTGTCAGTCATCTGTTTCTTGTACAGCTTCTTCAGTATTGAAGCTTGTTGCACTATCTTGCTCTCTGTTTACCATTTTATCAAATGGTCCATTTCTTGATAGTGTTCTTTTTCCTCAACATGAATGATTTCGAAGATACTTTTGAGGCATGAATTAACTGGCACTCACTATCTCAATGCATTGATACATGTTTTATTGTTAAGTGATTTAGAATGTTGTTGATTTATTAATTATTTGTTTTATTTCTCATTCAAGTTCATCTTTGCTTGTAATGCTTTTCTAAATTTTTATTACAATTTTGTGACTACTTTTAGGTACCATTTCCATACTTTTAACCATTCCTTTTTCCTTGATTGTTTTTCACTCGTGTGGTTGGGAATGGTGGGAACTGGGAAGGTAGTATCAATAAGACAAATCACAGAATGTGACACTGCGACGAGACTGACCGTGAAGAAATTAGACTAAGGCAATGATGTGCGTCCTCCTGGCTAACTTTTTCCCATGCTTTTATCAGAAATTCGACGTCCCATAATGAAAATGGAGCACGATTGTCCAATCCTGAATCTAAATTGACTGTAAATGAAGATAGGTTTTCAATAAATAAATAAAATTGTTCAATTAAGTAAATTAAAGCTTGTGGATAAACCTGAAAGTCTCTGTAAAACTTCCACTCCCACCCACTTACCCCCTCTCCCCAACTCTCGTGATGCTATAGTCGACAGAGAATGACTTGGCCTTTAGTTTGAGTACTTGAGTTGCTTACATCCCCCCGTTACTTAGATTGTACAAAGCCTTAATGCATTACATTCCCTAGCAAACATCTCCTTAAACCAAGTTTATTACCTTCCACAAATTGACTAGCACTACTACAACCTTATTTATCGTTAATTTACTAAAAAATTAATATCCTATTCATTGTTAAGTACGAATGTCACTCCCAGAGCCGAAAAGACAAGCAAAGTCTATTAATTTCATATAAGATAAGAAGAAAAAGTCATTGAACGTATATAGAGGAAGGTAAAGTGTATTAATTTTATACGAAAAGGTCACTAAATATATAAACATTGACATCATAGTACTAATAATTTGATTTTGCAAAAAGATATTAATAGTTGTTTGACAAATGATATCAAAGTCAATTTTTAATTTATTTTACTCAATGTCATATGTCTTAATAGTGATAAATAAAATAAATCAATCTAATTACTTAACAAAATATTGTGATAAAATACGGTGACAATCTAATCACACGAACACTCAAAAGGGGTGTAGGCAGGATAAAAATCGTGACAAGAACATCACAAAATTAGGTGGAGAAAAATGTCACCTCTGACATCCTTAAAAGGCAAAAGAAGTACGTTAATCCCACATTAAATAGAAAAAATATTACTAAACGTATAAACATTGATGCTGTTCCCTCCAATAAACCGATTTTGTAAGAAGAAAACGGCAAGTGACAGTAACTCCTGCCTCGGGGTGCTAGTGCTTTGGATAGCTGTTGGGTTGTATCCAATCATTTCTTGCAGAACATATACAAGTAATTAGGAACAAGAATCACTTTATAAAAAGTTTGTACCATACAAATAGATTCAATTTTACCTACAAATTGGCCATCTCTAGCGGGAACAAATGAATAATGCCCCAAGCACCGCATCAGACTTTTCAGAGGAAAAACACTATTGGTTTTGACTTTGGAGTCTTCACAATGTACTTCAGTCCACGGGGCATGATTTGAAATTTTCAGTTGGGACAAGAAATGAACATTTTACATTGATACAGAATGAATAACTTCTTGATTGGCTATGCAGAGTTACAAGTAGTAAACAACAAAAGATGCTTCCAGAAAGCGTTTCCGTCAAATATTATGCCAAGAATTCTGTTGTAGTGGTTGTTCTGAATCTTGTGAATTCTGTTGCAATGGTCGTTCCACATCTTGTGAACCCAGTCGTCAAGGTCTTTCCGAATCTTGAAAATTTAGTCACATTGTCTGTGCAGAATTCTGTTGCCGTTGCTGGTGAAGAATATTGTCATCCAGAATCTCAATTTCAGAACTGCCAGATGGTTTGGCACCAGTACTGGCGAGGTTTTTAAACCAAGCTGTTTGCAATCTGGGGCTTCCTCTATTTGAATTGCCAGGGGAATCATTACCACCACTAGAACCAGAGGTAAAACCCACAAGGAAACGATATGCCACTTTGCTGGCTGATACTATCTCAGTCTTGGCTTGTCTCAACTGCAATAATTAACATGCAGCAATTTTAAGCAGTGACCCTAGCAAGGGCTTAAACTTCTAAGCTTTAGGACATTTCACGATTTCAGCCTCACAATTAGTTTGAGTTTTAGATAACTTTTTGCTGCAAACTTCAACACAACATGCATCAAAAACTAGAAAAGGAGGTGGAGGGAGAAGTGGGAAAGAACATTACTGCAAATTTTAATTTTTGTTTTAATGCTTGTGAATTCAGAATTGGAATAAAAACATAGATTGCATTTCAGCTTCAGGGCAATTTTTAAAGAAAATTTTAACACAACATGCACAAATGACTAGACAGCAAAAGTTGAGAAACAAGCAGAAAAAAAGTTACTGCAAATTTTATTTCGTAAGCATCTTCTATCCTTGCAATATCAAGATAATAATGTAGTGCCCAATCAGAAGATGCTATAACAACCTTTTTCTATGTTCACAAAGTTTCAAGGCAAGACACCTCCACAAGATGCCTTTGAGATAAACAAACAGTCCTAATAACAACTGAACACATAATGTAATAGTCATACACGAGTCAAGTGATATATAGAATGAAGCCAAAGTAATGTCAGGAATAAAGCTTAATAGCACATGCTTACCTGCACAACTGCATGCATCTATTACATTCAAAGTACAAAAAATCTATTTTTGTAAAGTTCGGATGAGTATATGTTTGCAGGCACTGCTTGTTTAGTGCAATAAAGTTAAAAATTTAAACAGATTATAACAATCATGAATTAAAGAGGTTGCTCACCCGTAAGGCAGTGTTTTCTGCTATTTCTATAGCAGCATCACCAGCATTGGCAAAACGATTGACCCAACCTGTTAAAAAAGTTGTAAGAACAAGCAAGCCACTGTAAGTTGAAATGGCACTGACAGAAGATGCTCTATTCACTCTTACTGACCACATTTTATCTCCTCAAATTACAGCCAGCCATGGGCCTGCGTACCAAGTGAAACGAAAGTAATATGATTGCCCTAGCCCTCACACCCTAACACTAAGAATAAGGTAGGTAGCCCAAGCCAGACCATAAATTAGTTTTCTGTCTGATATTCAGGTTTATCACTAAAGAACAAAGACGATGGAACAGAAGCAGCAAAGTACTCAGCTCGTATTTGGCACTCACAAATTAATATTTGGTAGTAAACACAATATTCTCCACCACTTGACATCAAGAAAGGGCAGGCATAAGTTACATGAGGTAAGGCACAAAACAGTGTTTAGATATTGTACTTGATGGTCATTGAACAATTTTATGCAATCATGGAATAGCAATATTCATAAAATAAAAATAGGTATGAAACGAAGCCTTCCTCGAAAATTCAACTAAAAAGCTATATTAACGAACTTGGCCATCTGCCGGTGGGCTACAAAGTTGTAGGGATAGCAAAGCAGTAATCACTACGGATGCCTACAGCCGTTCAACTCAACTACAAGAATACAACAAATTTTAAGTTTACCCGGAAGCTTTTGAACACCAAGCCTTTTGCAGAACTCATCACAGAAGTGGTTGCAATTTTTGGATAACAAGTCATAGGAACTTCCAGGCCACTCTCTACTAAGTTCCCGCAAGATCTGGTTCACCTTGAATATTGAAAAGCTAGTTCTTCCCAGGACCATGGACTCACGATATGTATACATTGGATTTTTGCCAGAAGGACAACTAAAAACTCCAGACCCTTGCTCACAGAAGCCAAAAGACCATTCATCATCTCCATATACCTGCCAATATGCAAATAAAGTTAATAAGCTTGACAAAAAAATGGCATGAATAACAAATTTATGATAAAGAAAGTGTCATTAGAAGTTGACAACCAAAATGTTTACCCATTCTGACCGAATAAATACTGCTTGCAGCATTCACTTTGGAGAACTAATAAATTGTATGATATCCATATAAAATATATATATATATATATATATATATATATCTAAAGCTATCTGATTCAGTTTATTTCTGTTACGGTTTCAACAAAATTAGACTATAGAGACAACAATGGGCATGTAAAGAATGAGCAACAAGATTAATGACAAAACCAAAGCTAAATTGGTAAAAAGTGAAGATAACCATTGCCAGTACCCATAACTTTAAGAACTCAGAAGCAAACATGTTCCCTGTCTTTCCCACTAACATAATTTAGTTGCAAGATTCTCCAAGATAAGGTAACATATTGGCAAAATTTCTATGAATTCTTTCAAAAATAAAGCAAGAAATAGATATATATAATTCCCAAAGACCTAACATCTAGCTGCAAAATCCTCTTAAGGAAAAAAAAGCTGCAGAGCTTCACTTAAAACTCTGTAAAGACTACCATAGTCCTTTGCTCTGAAAAACTTTGGCCCCAGCTGAAGACACTCCATATTACTCAGAATTCTTTAGGTGAATTCCATATATTAAAAGGACATAAAATAAACTAATACTTTTCTCACGCTACAAAAGAAACAATGAAAATATAAGCCTTTACCCTGCAAGTAACCATGGATCCTTTCTTTGCAGTATTCTCTCTTCCTTCCTAGCTACCTTGAAAGCTTAAATTACTCCTTTTAAGCAAAATAAAGATCTAAAGCCCCCCTTTCTTTGATAAAATTCTTTATCTACATTATACAAGAAGACTTGAATGCACCAACCAAACAGTTAGATCTTATTTAAAATCACCATTTAAACATTTGCCACTTAACTAAACAAGTAAAACCCTAGATATACAACACAAAGCCAAAATTTTCCAAACCAGAAACCCTAGATCTCGTTTACCCACAACATGAAAGAATGCAAAAGAAATGCAAAATTCAAGAAGAGCGTGAGAAAGATGGGACCTGAACGGCGCTGTGGAAGATGCCGCCGAGGCCGATTCCGTCCTTGAAGACCTTGTTGATTTGAACAATCGTGCTGTTCGTTTTATCCGATCCACTGTTCGTCACATCATATATATGTAATATCACCTCCGTCATCTTCACCCCAAAACGCTAACCGCTCTCCCTCTATGGTTTCGAATTTTTACACACAACAGAAAACCCTAACCCATACTCCCTTTAAGCTTCGGAATCCAATGATTCAATTCGGTTCCAAAAAAATAAGCTTCCTCACTCTTTTGCACTTTGCTTTTTCGCTCTCTTTTGGAATTTAATGTACAATTCTTTTAGATAAAAGTGGGGGTTTTTTTTTTTTTGGGGGAGGGGGAGTCTCAAGATTCGATTAGAGAGAGAAAGAGAGTTTCATTTTAATGTTTGAAAAGCAATTATCGCCCGGCGTTTCCGTTACTAAGCAAGAAGAAAGACATTCTAGGGTCAATGACGGGAATTTTGAAATGGCCCTTGGAAGTTGATAAAAATTACGGAAAGGAGGAGGCTGGGGTAGATAGTTAGTCATGTCTATTCCAATTTTTTACGACGGTCGGGCACTGAGTTGGATTGGATGCCCCTCTCCCAGACACGGACGTCTTCTTATGAAATTATCCCTTTGCCCTCCTCGGTCCTCGTTTTTGAACTCTGAAGTAATAGCCCCGCCTCTCTCTAACTCTCTTTCAGCAGTTTTGTGAAAAAATTAAAACCAAATATTTTAAAAGAATTTTTTAACCTTTAGAAAAAAAAAAAATGAATTTCACTACATTTTGTTGATTTTGCCTCCAAAGTGAATGGTAGTGTAGATTTTAGGCCAAAAATATAAAAAATGTTAATTTATAAAAATAATCCATATATTATTTTTAATTTGATTAAAATAATGCAAAATATTTCTTAACATAATAATAAGTTATTCTTAAACAATAATTATGGATCCAGAATAAAGGGTAAATGCAATGAGTGTGCATTTGTGGGTCAAAAGCTACAGAAATGTTTTTTTGTTTATTAAACTAAAAGTGGAAAAGTAGATTAAAATGAATGATATTCATAACGATGAATACTCAAAGTGGGAGTGGGTAAGGCTGACGGGCGGCCAACCTTCTTCCTGCTCCCACCCAGAGTGCACTTCCTACAAAGAATGTAGGTACAGTTTGACTAGGGCCCATTGGCCATTAGGCATCAGCATTTGCCCCCTCTGCACTTCATTACCTCCTCTGTACAACACAGTGCTAGAGATTGAGACTTTTGTTTATACTCGATCAGAGCCTTTCACAGTGAATCTCCTCTCCACCAAGTTTTTCAGCAGAGCCACTGTCTGCCACCCAATTCATGTTGGAATTTCCCATTTATTTTACCTTATCTGGAAAAATCCAAGTACCATTACATAAGTTTACCTGTACATAAATTTCTTATTCTATAGCATGCACTAACCCATTTCAAACTTGAAAAAACGTGATTATAAATAAGGCTTAACTCGACAGATAAATGAAGTTTAGAGCACAAATTAGAAATCAATATTCTTTATCTTGAAAAAGGAAAGTAAAAAAGGAAAAGAGATTCCTATTGGCATGTGCTTTTCTTTTTTTTAAAGGACACGATGTCACAGGTTAGGTGAGCCAGTTGTCTATCACTACGTGTCTTGAATTCACAGTTGATATCAGCCAGAGGAAGTCTACGGATAGATATACTTTTGCTGACAACTTCAGGAGAAAAATACAAACTTCATGGTTCACATTCAAGCTTTATCCTGAACAGTTTTAATATTCAGTATTTCACGTGGTGGCAAAGTTAATAACACTCCAAATACTAGTACTAAACTACTATCAGTAACAATTAAGCAAGCACTAGAGGTTTCTTGCAGCTTGAATTAGGGCACATGGAAGTCACAAGGGCAAGAAACCATTATATGAGGTGTTGCCTTACTTTATCCTCAAATGATCTGAATGTGTCTACAATGTTAAACAGGTTCTTTATTCTCGGTTTCAGGTTTTCAAAAGTTCATTTTAACCAGTACCGATCACTACTGACTCGACTTTCATGCAAGTATCCAAATTCAACATCAACATAATCAGGCTTTAAGTTAGCAACTCAACCAATAAAAACAAGTTGGGAGGGGAGAGAAATCTACAATTCCTTTAGGATCACAACAGTCATCTATATCCTAAATATACAACAATCTGGATTCTTAAGGAAAAGAAAAGAACATAAACCTCAACTAAAACTTCCAATATATATATATTGATTCTAGGAGAACTAATTGAGAATGAGAAGTGACCTTGATTGTATCTATGCAGCATTGACTGTTTAAATTATCTGCCTTCATTCGTCATCAATTGCGAAAAAACATCGCTTGTTGTTAAGTCTGAACAACCAGTACCATCATCTCTCTCTGTCCTAGCATTGCTAAATGGAGTAACACTGGATGTTGGACAATCCATTCCATTCATGTTGCTGCCTTCACGTGGTTCTTCTGGCCCTGATTCTTGAAGCTGAAGTGCATACTCCAAATTCCATAAGACATCACCCATGGTTGGCCTATCAACACCGTAATCAGCCAAACATTTCTCAGCTGTTTCTCCATATTTCTTCAAACAGCTAGGTTTTATTTGTCCCACAAGGTGGGGATCAATAATTTTCCTAAGCATTCCTTTTTTCTGCCACTGCATTGCCCATTCTGCTAAGTTCACCTGCTCCCTAGCAAGCAATGGATCAACAGCGGGCCTAGCGCAAAGTACCTCAAAAAGCACAACCCCAAATGAATAAACATCTGATTTATCAGTAAGTTGCTGTCTCCGAAAATACTCAGGATCAAGATACCCAAAGCTACCCTTTACCCCAGTGCTTACATGGGTTTCATTGAGACATGGGCCAGATCTTGAGAGACCAAAGTCAGCAACCTTGGCCACATAATTTTCATCAAGCAATATATTAGTAGATTTAATGTCGCGATGAATGATACCTTGTGCTGAACCAGTATGAAGGTAGTGAAGACCTCTAGCTGAGCCAATGCATATTTCAAGCCTTTGCTTCCAAGACAAAGGAGGATATTTTGAACCATATAAATGATTCTTCAATGGCCCTTTTTCCATATACTCATAGACTAGTATCATTTCTGACTGTTCTTCACAATACCCAACAAGTGAAACAAGATGCAGGTGACGAATCTTCGACAAAACACTTATTTCAGTCTGGAATTCTGGAAGACCCTGCCTTGATCCACGGACACCTCTCTTTACAGCAACCTTAGTATTGTCTTTAAGGACCCCTTTGTAAACCATACCAAATCCACCCATTCCAATAATTAAACTCTTGTCAAAATTGTTAGTTGCTGTTTGAATGTCAACAAAAGGGATTCTCAAGCTGTGATAACCATTAGGACCTTGAGATGTGGTAACAGTCCCTTCAGACATTCTACTATATGAACTGGCCCCATAAACACATAGCGGTGTCCAACCAGCACTTTCTACACGTCTGGGTGGTTTTGGTTTCTTCTTCTTGCACTTAAATGCAAGCAGAACTGAAGCTGCAGCCAAACAAAAGATAAGAAAGCCTCCAAAAATAAAACCCACCAAAATCCAAACGTTTTTCCTCTTAGACCCAGCATGCAAACCTTTAAGATTTACCAACCTCATGATCTCTACCCCATTTAGAATGGCATTAATTTTTGAAGGAGTGCTCAAATCTGAAGGTCCAACACTTACACGTACAACCCCTGAATCATCCGAATGTGCAACAAAATCTAAGTAGACCGGTGACGAAAGAGCATGATATGTAAGCATCGACAAATCCAAATCCCGATAAGCGGAGTAATCATTGATATACACATTGAAGTACAACAGATTAAGTGCAGGACTGACAATATCACAAAAATGCAACCTAACTAAGTGTGGAGCACCAAGTGAACCTACTGGAAAGTCCCAAGTGATATTGAACCAACCATTCAATGTCAAATTATCCCTGTTCATCTGCTGTGCAGTCATATAAACACTGTCCGGGGCAATTTCACGGGTTGCACCCCCATTCTGATAATTTGGTACATGAGTGGCAACTGCTCGTTTTGCAGCAGGTTTAAACACAAGAAAGCCATCATCAGGGATCCAAGTTCTCCATAAAGTGTCATTAAAAGGAGTTAGCTTTAAACCACCAACATTAATCCTATGAATAGTCTCTAAAACCCGCGATGTTAAGTTCTTGTACTCTTCAATTCCGTCACCACTAACCAACTTAGCCCCATCATCAATAATATAGTCTTTAGGAACTGAAAATACCTCAATTGCATTTACAAATGCAAAACCAGAATCACCTACAGGACTAAACTTAATTTCAAGAACTTCACCATCTATTTTCAATATGTACTCTTTAAGCAGCAAATTGTAAGCATTAAAACCACTCAGTAACAAGAAGCCATCAGCCACAACATTGAATCTGGAAGATGCTAAGTTAAAATTTTGAGCTTGAAATGGGGAGAAATGGAGACGTACCAAGTGAGTCCCTGTCCCGTTTTTCTTGATGTTGAACTTATAGCTTGAGTCAGTGGTGAAAACGCGAGCCGTTTGGTATAAAATGGGTGAATTTGGAGATGGGTTTCGGTCCGTGAGTGAAACGGATCGCTCTGCCGAGAGGGAAACCGAACGTTTGGCTGAATCAGCTATAAAAATGCGGTTATAGAATGAAGTGTTGCCCCTTGATCCACAGTTGAGGAGGAAGTTGTTTGTGGGTAGGAAAGATGTAGAGATATAAAGGAGTGAAAGGAGAGTTAGAGAGAAAAGGTGAAGCCTTTGGGTATCCATGGAAGGTGGCTTAAAAAGATTATTTTTGGTTCTTCAACAGATAAAGAGAGAAAATCTAACACATTGGAATATATAATGGTAAAGCGTTGAAGAAGAGAGACAGCGTTTGAAGAACTGGATCGCAGGAGCTTTCATTTAGAGTTTTGAGAAGTGGGAGACACTGGATTTGGCCCTGGAAATTGATGGTTTTTCTGGAATATATCAAAGCATTTTTTTTTTGGACCGTTCACATTCGTGCAAAGTACTCTTTTAGCAATTGTGGATGATGAATAGGAGAAATAATTGCTTTTTTTATCCCAAGTATGGTCCAGCGGAGCATGCGAAAATCCCCACCAAAATACCTTTCAGTTCATGCCAAGAAACAAGGACCAGAACATGTAGAAACGAAATAAATTGAACATTTATCTTCCGATCTAGTGCTAAGAAGATTTTACAAAAATATAAAAGTTCTGATTTCCAATTAAAATCTCTTTTTCTTACTTGTAAGAGTTCTACCTTCTTTTGAACTAAAATAAAAAATAAAAATTAAATTAAACTTTTTTCCCTGCCCACTATTTGCTTGCTGAAGGCATTGATGACACCACAAGACTACGTAACCTTGCTCATTTTGACAAGTTTTAACTATCTTTTTTTTGTACTCTCTTTTCGGATTTTACACATAAAAATCAAAATTTCTCTCTTACCATGAACATCTAAATTTTTAGTAATTAAATTGTACAATTTACCTATAAGATTTTACTTTGAGCATCGGACAAATTGCTATTTGAAAATTTTTTTTACAGGCCTATAGTTTAAAAAATAAAAGAATAGGTTGCAAATATGAATTTAAATTTCAATCCTGATTGATATATTATTTTATGAATTAATTAAGTCTTAAATTATAATAAAAAATACCTTCCTTGGGGCCGCATTATGGATTATTTATCTCATCCCTAACATTAAGCAGCACTGCTACGCTTAGGTATGACTACTTCCGTTTTTATTGTTGCATTTATGCATCACATGTCTAAAAATTTATTGCATAAGTTAATGTAAAGTCCCTGAACTTTAAATTGGAAGAGAAATGGGGCTGCTGTTGCCTGTCTTCCATTTTCGTTTCAGAGTCTCAGGGCTGAGTTTCCGAAACTTACATAATACTAATACTTTTTTTTTTCTCACTGGCATTCCAACAATGGCTCCTGCAAAAGCTTAGCAGATACATCATTATTTTCCCTTGAGAATAGCTGTACAGTTTTTAGCGACAGAAGTTTTTACGCGTCGAAAATGAATTATTTCAATTTTTACAAGTTTCCAAATCCCAAATGGCGTGGAGCAAAGTGACAGGTCTTCTTCCGCCTTCAATCTTCCCAAGAAAATAAACATGGTTTAAATAATCAGACACACCATGTCAATTCAAAAAAAAAAAAAAAATCGTTTTACCAAAGAAAAAATATATATACTGACTGTTCGGGTTGGTCGGCAAATCCTTCCAAAAATACAAAAAATGTGAATAATATTTATGCCATCGGTTTTGCTCTTCCAAAATATTTAGTTAGGGATATAAATGAATAGAATGATAATCAATAATTATTAGTTTATATTTATTTATTAAATTTAATAAATAATTATAAAATAAATTATAAATATAATAAAATTTATTTGTATTATTTATTTTTATTTATATTTAAAAGTGTAAATAAACAGAACTTTAATAAATAATTCATAAACAAATTTAATTAATATTTATAAGTTTATTTATTAAATTTAATAAAATATTTTTAAAATTATTAATTAAATAAATAAATTACAAATATAATAATATTTGTTTTTATACTGAAAATAATGATTGTTTTAAAACTAAAATTTGCGTTGTATTTTCATTTTTCAGTTGTAAATTAATAATAAAAGCAGAGAGTAATCAGATAAGATCCCAATTCCCTTCTTGGCAAAAAAAAAAAAAAAAACCAGATAAATAAAATCGATAAGATCCCGTTTCAAATATCAGGTAATAGCTGGCAGGCAAATATAAAAAAAAAAAAAAAAAAGTGTTCGTCGTCGTCGATAGCGATAATAACACGAAATCAAGTCGTGATTGGAGAACGCTTGTGCTTGCCAGGCCAACGATAAAATGGAAGTTACGCCGAAAAATTTAGACCAAGAATTAAAATGGTCGGTGTGGTGCTCTAATTAAAATAATATTTAAGCTTTTTTAAAATTGTTTTAAAATTTTTTAGAATTTAAATTTTTTTTAATATTAATATTATAATTGATAATATGTTGTGAATTAATTTTTTTAATACGTATTAATATTTTATTAGATATTTATATTATATCATATGATGATTAATAAAATTAATTTTAAATATTAAAATGAATAATAAAATTAAAATATTAATAATTTTATTTTTTTAAATATCAAATTGATAAAAATGTGTATAATATAAATGTCAAATATATATTTATTTTTTAAAATTTTTAATTTATCTTTAAACTCTTTTCTTTACTACTTATCTAATTGAAAATGACATAATTTATATTAATTCTCTTGAACTTATAATATCTAAATACTAATTTCAATAATATATTAACTGATTTAAAAATTATTTAATATTTAGATAAAAATTTTTAAGTGAAAATTTTATAAATTGTTTTATTAAAAATGATTAAATCAAAATTAAAATAATAAATTCAAAATAATAAATTCAAAAATTTTATTATATAAATTAAATGTGTAAATTTTGAAATATTAATAAATTTTTATATATCTCTTAAATGATTTTTTAATAAGAGTTTTAATAAAAATTTTATCATTGAATAAATATTAACCAAATTTAAATTATAAATAATATTTTTAATAATTTTTTATATATATTATTGATCTTTTCATTATTAATATAAATAATTTTTTAAAATTTTTAACTAAATTATTTATATTAAAAAATTTTATAAATTTCGACTAAAAGATTTCATTTAATTCGCAGCTACGCCAAGTGGTACTACTTTTCACACCTTTGCTAAATCCAGCCTCGTCACTCTTTTATTATGACAAGAAATTGGTGGTGGGGTTTGCCAAATTCGTTGAAATTTTTTAGTTGGTTGGTGGATATGTCACTTTCTCAATCAACAATTAATCATGAATTTGCTCTCAAATTAGAATGCTAAAACAACGTTTTCAACCTCAATCATTGAATTAAGGAATGCCTTGTTTTAACTGTGTATGCGAGGCATTGATGGTGCTTAGATGTGACGCAGATTGTTGGGGCTATGGTTGCCGACAAATGTGAATATTTTTACAAACGTTTCTCAATTTTGTATTGTTCGCCGAGAATGCTATAAAGATTGCAGTTTGTGTGACAAACACATAATTGATCAAAGCATTTGACGAAGGTTTGAATATTTTTATTTGTGTTGAGCTTTGAGTTAAGAACAGATATGGAATCACATAAGAAAGAAGAGAATGGTGAGAAGTAAAAGCAAGTGTTTATATTTCAACGTGTAAATCATAGATCGATATGAAAAAATATATACATAGGAAATTGAGAATTCCAATGCATAAGTCAAAGGTATGAAAAAAGGTGAAAAAAAAATAAATAGAAAGTTGAGAATAATGTAGGATTGAATGATATTTTATAGTACTTGAATATTCATATTTATAGACAAAAAAAAAATGAGACACTTAAAGGATAAAAGTGGCATGACTGAATTAACATAACTCTGAACACGTCAGGTCGATCCAAATATTTAAAATGTTTTTGATTATTTATTAACAATCTCTAATAAAGAGATAAGATTTGGTTATCTTTTTAACCATTAAATGCTCTCTAACATTTTTTTTAATCTAACTATGTTAAGAAAGATTAACTCATTTAACCCAAATATCTATCCATTTAAATCCATTCAATTATTAGTAATATTGAAATATATAAATAAAATCAAGTTTAAGTAAATTAATCATTTCATGTTGTACTAAAATGTTAACAAAAATTATGTAGTTATCCATAATATAATAGTAGAGTAAAATTTTTATTTTTAATAACAAACATTCAAAATTTAATAGTTTCAAATATAAAAAATATTGACACAAACCTAATTACTTAAACAGGTTAGTTTGTAATTCTAAGCATTGTTAAACTTGTCGAACTAAACATTTTTGTTAGAAAAACAAATTCGGACAGTGTTACAAGTTCTTGAAATAATTTTGATTTTGAAGTTGTAAAATCATAATATATCAGCACAAATCATATATAATATTATATTATAATATACATAAAAATCTAATAAGATTTATTTATGTGAAAATTTAAATGGATGGTTTTTCTTTTTAATACGTAGGAAAATTCTTAAATTTTTTTTCTATATAATGACATGTAAGATATTTTCTAATTTAAGATATTTATCAAAAAAATATACATGTAAAAATTATTTAATTATACAAAATTTTAAAATTTAAGTAAAAGACCAATTCAATTATTTTTAAGTTGTTAGCAATAAAATCTAATTTAAATATATATTTTTAAAAAATATATTTCCAAATAATCTAAATATATATATATATATCTTTTTTAATTTAAAATTTTCAAATATAGTAGTATCATGTGACCCTATATAGCCACTTAGCCAATGTGGAGATGATTGTGTCAAACCTCATGGAAAGTTCAAGGAAATAGAAGATGAGATCTCCATGGTGCTTTTAATGAAGCCATCGACATGTTCACTCAAAATAATGAAGCCTCGGAGGCCATGGTGGAGGTAATGTACAAGGAGATGAAAAAGCTCAAAGGGGAGCTCATGGCATACAAGGTAGCCATTAGGAATGGTGTGCTAACTATAACAATAAAGCTTAAGTGGAGGTTCTTAAGCCAAAGAACTACAAGAGAGCTAGGTTCATAAAGGATGTGGGCAATTTTCTATGGGAAATGAAACAATACTTCCTAGCCATTGGTATTGAAGAGGATGGCACTAAGGTAAGCACAACCTCAATGTATTTGGTTGACATTGCACTATTATGGTAAAGACATAGGTGTGATGATGTGAGCCATGAAAGGGTTATTGTCTAGACTTAAGAGGAGTTTAAGACAAAGTTTAAGTAGTAGGTCTACAAAGAATATGCCAATGATGAGGCAAGGGTGAAGATGCATAAGTTTAGTCAAAGAGGCAAAGTGCGAGATTATGTTCAAGAGTTTTTAAACTTAATGCTTTAGATTTCAAACCTTTAAGATAATAAAGGTCTTTTTTGTTTCATGGACGGATTCAAATCGTAGGCCAAGGACAAGTTGTAGCGAAAAGGCCTTTAAGGATTTGGCCAAAGCCATGGTAGCTGTTGAATCCTTAGTAAAGATCTAGCCATAAAAGAAGTCTAAGTCATTCAAGTGTAAAGGTAACGACAAAGGTTAGGGAAACAGAAACCAACAGTCCAAAAATAGGTACAAAACTCAACAAACAAA